GAGAAACTGAGGTCTGACTACCCACCAGGCAGATGTGTTCTCTTATGGTATCATCCTCTGTGAAATCATCGCCCGCATCCAAGCTGACCCAGACTATCTTCCCCGCACAGAGGTATGTTGCAGACATGGGGATCAATGCCACTGGGATGGGGCTGGTTTGAAGCTGTAGAGCTGTCTTTTCTTTGGGGTGGAGTTGTTGGAATTGTTCTATAGCTACTTTCAGGTAGCTCTCAGCCTCTTCTGAGCAGGCCAGGATGGGGGTGTGTTAGGGGTGTTAATGACCTGTCTCATTTCCCTTGTATGCTTTTCTACCGTACTCATCCACAGAATTTCGGGCTAGACTATGATGCTTTCCAGCACATGGTGGGAGACTGCCCCCCAGACTTTCTGCAGCTCACCTTCAACTGCTGTAATGTGAGTGTCTTTAGCTCCCTGGCTTTGGTCAGGTGCTGGCTGAATCCTTTCACTTAAGACTGTAGGGAGAAGCTACAATTAGCCTCATAAGGGGCTTCATTTTCCCTAGATATGTCAACACCAACTACATTTTTCTACACTGGGTCGTTCAGGCTTCCCAGAGCCCCGAACCAGAGGAAAAAAAATTGCTTTGTATTACACAATCCTCAGCCTACTAGGTGGACCCACTACTCTGTGCCTTGGGTGTTGTTTTTGAGCTCTGGTTAGGTTTTATTGGTGGTACTATGGCACCAGCCAGTCCTGATGCATGTGAAAGTCTCTTAGTTACACACACCGAATCTTAAAATATGCCAGAAGCAGATAGAAATTTCATCTTTGGGGAAACTGAGAGCAGGGCTCATGGCTGGTATGGATGCCTACAGATGGACCCCAGACTACGTCCATCTTTTGTGGAGATTGGAAAGACCCTGGAGGAAATTATGAGCCGTCTACAGGAAGAAGAGCTGGAGAGGGACAGGAAGCTGCAGCCCATAGCTAAGGGTAAGTGATTAGATTCAGACACCTAAACTTGATCCCAAAGGGGAGAAAATGAGACCATGAGACCCTCTCCTCTAGGCCTATAATTCTAAGATCTCAGGTCTGGAAGGCAGAGTAGGAGGAGCACAGCATGGACAATAAAAGTACTAGGCCCTCTTAAAAAGCTGACTTGGCATATTGCTTCCCTGTTTCTTCTTCATTGATAAAATGGAGCTACTTATTTGCTCCCCTGAGAAGTCTTATTTTA